TCAAATGTATTTTTCCATATTTCCAGGGACACACCTTTTGAACCTTCATCATATATACATTCTCTTTAATTTGTATTTAAGACACACAACTGATTCATTGTATTCTAAATTTACAAAAAATAGATAGTGCATCTAAAAAAACATAAACAACAAATGAGAGGAATAGATATAAATAAATAAACCCTGAATGAAACATTGGAATTGGAATTCAAATATAAATAAATTAACCATGAATGAAACATTGGAATTGGAATTTAAATATAAATAAAATTCAAATATAAATAAAATAAATTAATAAATCAAATAAATAAAAAATAGTGTAAAATTATGATAGATTGACATGTCAGCAAAATTAAATGTTTGAGTCGTTAATGTCTTTCACAGCTTTAATCGGTCGCGCCATTGATGTTACTATTTAGACCTGTTACAAAATATGTATTAAAATGGACACAGAGCCATTGATGTTACTATTTAGACCTGTTACAAAATATGTATTAAAATGGACACAGAGAATCAAAATATGGGAATGAAGAAGAATTGGAAAACAATACATAACCTTTTGAAAATAATTGAGAATGAAGAAGATTGAGGAGTGAAAGAGTAAGAGTTTAGAATGGCTATATATAGGGTTTAGAATGGCTATATATAGAGTTTAGAATGGCTATATATAATAATTGGAAGATTTTTAATAGTGGTAACATAATATTATATTTCTAAGAAATAGTGTTTAAATATGTAATTTAATTTTTATGGATATAAATATGTTAAATAAGTAATTTATTTTTTATGGACAAAAAATTGTAAAAAGATGAATAAAAAAAGAGAAAATAAAATTAGAGTTGGGCAAGAATGATTATTAAGATGACACATGAGCAAGAATGACTATTAAGATGACACATAATTATATTATTAGATTTTTTTTTTCTAGGGTTGCTGTCATGAATTTAAATTAAGTAGATTTAATTTTTTTTTCATTATTTTATATATTACTTCTTATAATAAAATTAGGATTAGATGTGTTTGGATCTTGGGCACAGGTTTTCTTTTACTAATTTATTTCCATTCTAACTATCAGCCTTATTCTTTATTAGCACCCTTTAGTTCTATTTTTTAATTAGACTAATGTAGATAATTATGTTAAATTGTTTTAATTAAGTAATTTGAGTCTACTAATTTTAGGTCATTTGATCTTATTTTCTTTTAGTTTATAAAGAGTAAAAGCAAATAAAAACATGATTTTTTTTTTATTATTAAGTTATCAATTAAATTAATTTCAATATTTTTTTATAAATAATAGTATTGACGAATTTTATATCTATTACATTCGAATAATCGATTGATTGGTTCAATGTCTTACCAATTAATTATTCAAATAAAAATATTAAAATTTACAAACAAATCTAATGAATTTCTTCGCCTTACGAGATTTAATTCTAATAAGGAGCAACTCCTTATAAAAATCAATTTCTTCGCTCCGCGTAATTTAATTTCGATAAAAATCAATTTTTGATCAATAAACCAACTCAAACATTTTTTTACTAACATAACAAAAATTCAAGTGTCAAATTAGTTTCAAATTAAATCTTCGAACTACGTCTACGATTACTCAATTTCAAATTCAGGCGAATTTCAAAGGATCATTCAAAGGCAAATTATACGCAATCCTATAAAAAAACTAATCAAACACATATGAACTACGAAATTGACTATGATTTCTTCGCAAGAGGATACGTAAGCACGCGGTTAAAATCAAGACGAGTCCCCTAATTAAATAATTAAATATTTTCATATGTACATGGTAATAACATTTAAGTAGAAAATTTTCATTAAGTCCTAAACCTAAAAAGGGTCCCCTTGAGTACAAGGAAGATAAAGGGTGCCTAACACCTTCAATTTATCTAACCACCTCGCGAACCTAGTAATCTCTAAATAATTAAGATTTCTCGTTCCTTTCCCGTCCTTAGGACAAAAAGTAGTGGTGGCGACTTTCCTTATTTTTTGCCGGTTACGTTAATTATGTGGATTTTTCCTAAAATTCCGGTACATTTCGAAAATCCCAGAAATTTTGCCAACCCTGTAATTTTTGGTATGGCAGAAAATAAGCCTCTCTACTTGTGCAGTCCTCAACCGGCACAACCGACAGCTTCTTCTACGGATTCTTGTACAAATTGTACGGAGTTCTTCATCATCGATGTTACCTTATTCCAAAATGTTTGTCCGTTTGTAGGAAATTGTTAATTTAACCTTTATATTTCAAAATTGACAGATATTCAAGACTCGATCGGATGCGTTAACATGTGCACATACTATTGGGAAACAACATGGTATTATTGTTGCCATTGTTCGTTCTGATTCGGTTAATAGAATCTCGTGGAGGATGGATAAATTGATTATGGATTGCGAGAGATGAGGAAATTATAAAAGAAAGAATGCATGTCAAAGCACAAACTCATCTAACGACGTTTATAGCATGAAAGTGAAATGTCCTTTTAGGCTGAGAGTTGTTTGAAGTTATGTTGGTTGGAAGGTGATAGTTAGGTGTTGGATGCACAACCATAGATTATCTGAGGATTTGGAAAGCTATGACATATTGAGTCGTTTAAAAGATCATGAACGACAGTTTGTGAATGATATGACGAAGTACAACATGGCTCCAATGTTCGTAGTTGCTGCTTTAAAATACAGAGATCCTGAAAACCTAACTATTGTTACCCAAGTGTATAGAGTCAGAGCTACATACGAAACGGGCAAGAGATGAACATTGACAGAAATGTAAATGTTGTTGAGTCTTATTCATAAAGAGAAATACATGTGTTGGACTAGAAATAGAGACAGCGTAGATATTGTTGTTGATATCTTTTGGACACATTTGGATTTAGTGAAGTTGATGAATATGTTTCATTCGGTGTTGATTTTTGACTGCACATACAAGACAAATAGGTAAGAATATTTTATTGGACATCCTGACATATGTTGTTGTAAATGTTGATTTTGATTACTTCCATGTTGCTCGTACAGGTACCGCTTACCACTGCTTGAGATTATTGGTGTTACGTCAACGAAGTTGATGTTTTCGGTCGCCTTTGCCTATTTAGAACATGAAAGGGAGGAGAATTTTACATGGGCATTAGAGAAGCTAAAAGAGTTGTTCTCTTCCGAGAAGTTTCTATCAAAGGTTGTGGTGACAGACCGAGAGCTTGCATTGATGAATGTCATGGAATATGTGTTCCCGAGTGCAACTCATCTGTTGGGATGTTGTGTTCTCAATTTCCTGTTTTCTTACATCCATACACTGATGACATTATTGATGTTGAAAATGATGGAAATTGTGGATTCTGTTGTATTGCAGTTCAACATGGATGGAGAGAAGACATGTGGGTTATGGTTCGGACGCAGTTAGACACTCAAATTCATCAACGCCCTCAATTATTTTCCAAGTTGTTCTATGACTCGGTTTTTACAATTAGGAATTTGTTACGAGTAAAACACATGGGTGTGTAGGATATGGATACGTGGATGAGCATTCCTGATATGGGTTACCCTATTGCTTCTAGATACGGTGTTGTATTTGTCTCCCTTTCCGTGAGACTTAATATCACCTTTTTTCCACCTATGTATACGAGCAAGCATACAATCATTGTTATTGGCTTTGTCAATAAAAATCATTAGGTTTAGGTAAATTTGAAATTTGATTGCCTAATGCCTCTATTCACTGTCCGTTAGAGAGAATTGTAGCGATGATGCAAAAGCATGGGAATCAGCATTTGCAGATCGCTTTAGGCATTAGAAAGAGGAAGTTGGGATGTTATCTTAATTTATTTTATACCCTTTTATATGTGACAATTATTAAATGTCTATGTTTAATCAGATACCATGTTTATTGATTCAGCTATGTGCAGAGAAAATCAATTAAAAAAGAAAAAAAACACATGCTGACAGTATATTGGAAATTTGAAATTTCTTGAATTTTTTAGTGACTACCGAAAATTATGAAATTTTCGATAATTATTGTAAAGTCATCACAAATTTGAAATTTTCAGTAGATAACAAATTTTTACGAAAAATATGTGTTTTTAACAAAATTTCAATAAACAATCCAAAATTCCGGTATACTTTAAAAAATTTCATGTTTTCTAAAATTTTTAAGGGTATAAACATAAAATGCTAAAAAAATGGATGGTGTAATGTATAATTCTAGAGTGGCATGTTAAAATCTCAATGTATTGCCTCTTTACCTAAGGATAAAAACAAAATAATTTTTTTTCTATCCTATAGTGAATAGATTTTCAATGCTTACCATTCACCACACACAAACAGATTAAATTTGGTTCCACTCTATTCAAAAGACAAAAACAGAATTGAAATCATAATTAAATTTGGTTCCACTCTATTCAAAAGACAAAAACAGAATTGAAATCATAATTTCGCTTGTAACAGTATTGTATTTCCGATTTCAGCCTACATTTTATCAAATCTTTGTGTATCTCAAAAAAGTATTTCCAGTTTTCAGGGACATTTTTATAAATTCTCGCGGTGCACAAAAAAGAAATCCTCAAAAACAATTAAGCAAGATTTTTTGTCGTGCTCTTGTATTTCTATTTTTGCCTAGTATGCAATTTTAGTGATTGTAATAACTCCTAAAGAGGTTTAACTTGACATTATATTTACTAATTCTGCATTTCCTTTCAATCACCTTCAAGCGGTAACCCTTAGATTCATAATTGGTCATGTGCACCATAAGAGTTGCTTGAACAGAGCTGATACGACAAGGAATTGAATTACATTCATTTTATATATATATACTGAGAATTTCAAAATTTTCCCAGATGATAACACCTGAGAGATGTAATACCTTCATGGATTCCAAGACAAATTAGATCAGACCAAAAAATATGTATAAGCCTAGAAAGGGGGGAGTTTTCAAATAACCCCAAATGTTGCTGATAAACATTCTACACCACTGCTAAATACTTCCACAAAATTTAAGTCAAATACTAGACCTATGTAGAATCAGAAAGATCTGTCTTCCCTTCATGAGGTTCGTCCTCTGAATCAGATACAACAGTAGATTCTATGGCAGTATTTCGGGTTGGTCTCTGTCTCACTCTTTGCTTCGCAGCCAAGCCTATGCTTTCTGGAACAGTATGGCCAGGGACTCCAGCTAATCGCTTACTACAGCGAACCCCCTTGGGATAAGAAACTGCATCACTTGAGTGTGCTTCTGAATCATCCATCTCCCTGTCATGTTCATCATTCTCCTCGCTACTACTGTGATTCTCAATTTCATAACCAGAATCATCACTCTCAGATATAGGGGGCACATCTCTATTAGAATCATCACTGTCTGACGATACATCCATGGTAGAGTCATCTTCAGATCCTTTGTTCCTGTCTTGATTGGCAGCAGGGGACTTTTTCCTTTTGCTAAGCATCGGTTCAAAAGAGGATAGTCAGATTATAGAAGTTAGTTCAGATTCAGAATCCAAAACATGTATCAGAGAAATAGAAATTATTATTGTGAGCATGTTATACTTGGGCCGCACGAATATTATTGTTCATCTCAAATTCTGGTTTTCAGTGTGTATCTCAGAGCAATGGTAAAAAGAAGCAAAAAATAGGCTTAAAAGTTTTATTTGCTTGCTCCTTTTGTTTGAAGGGAGTTCAGCAACTCCATTTGATAATACAGAATACTATCAACATTCTACAAGGATAATGCAACATGGCAAGGCAAATAGAACATGAACCAATGAGATGTAGTATCAGGAAAAACATACTTTGTCAACTGTATAGCCTCCTTCATGGTTCGATCATAAGCCTCTGCAATATTTCCCAAAGAGAACTTGATTAATATCAAAACACAACTGATGTCAGAAAGAGGCCGAGAGAAGAAGAAATCAAAACAGATTGTATCGAATTGATTGATTAGTTCAAGCATCAAACCGAATGTGGTTACTTACACCCATAGTGTCTAGTTAGTGTTAAATACCTAAATCTAATTTGGACATATGCTGATTGGCATTAATGAGAAAATACTTCTAAACAATTAAACATTTTGAATTGAAACAACAATTTATTTCTTATGTAAACACTAAACCGACACATTAATTACCAAGACTAAACTGATACAGTAAAAAAATCAGTGAAAGCAAGGTTGAATTTATTTATCAGATAAAATATGTAGAAAGTAGAGCAATTCAAATTCAAACTCAAACAAAGGAATGTCTAATCCCAATTCAATCCTAATGCAACATAATGCCAAATGAAAGGCACCTCATACATGCTCAAACATTCTCATCATCTTAATTTATAGTATGACTTATACTCCTAACAATGCAACTATGACACAAACAAAGCACAGTAAATTCAACTCTGTTAATATGCAGGAGAATACATGCAACAAAATTGAACAAATAGCCCACATCTTACCAAAACTGTAATTAACAGGCCTTCGAGTGCGACAAGAGCGTGCATTTCCAGAAGAATAAGAGTTCTGAAAATCTTTTAAGAGCTTATCCTGTCTCTGTTTTTGTTTCATTGCTTTTTCTTTCTTCTGCATAATTCAATAGTATTATTACATTATGTTAATATCAAAAACAAATATAAGGTATTCTCCATAAAATAGACACATATCTAACAATAATCAATAGGATGTATATACCTTTTGAAGTTTATCAAGAACAGGAATAGCTTCACTTTGAAGCTTCTTGCCGATAAAAACTTCCACGGGAGACTTGCTAGATGATAATCTTTCCTGGAAACAACATTCAAAGACAGTTAATTAAGGTTTTAAATACAGGTAAATCAAGGAAGACAAATGATAATTAGATTTTTCTTACAGCTACTTCTGAAAATTCTTCAAGATTGGAGGCAAGTGTTTCCCATTGAAAGTTGGGAAGTGACAAACAGCCTTTGACCTTACGGTTTGGAGTTGAGACTGATGTGATTGTTTCCCTGTACAATCTGTGACTCTGAGCTTTGGTGTTGGCATCGTACCTACAATAAACATAGTCAGACAGATTAATAGTGAGTATTTTATGATAACAATAATAATGAAGATATTGGAACATATTCAAATACCAATATGTTGTGCTAGTTCCAACTTTTCCAAAGGCATTTTTACGAAAAGAAGAAATTTCTGTTCCTTCTTTTAGAGAATCATTAATATATGATACCACATCATGTTGCTGATCATAACAAACAAACCGTCAAATTAATCAGTATCATGAAAAATTGTAACATAAAAATTCAAAAGGGATTAGAGAGAGATTGGGAACATCTAATCAGAGAACAGAGAGTATACAACTACAATTGCATTAATTAAAATTTGAATAAACTAAACAGAAGGTCACAATACATCAGCTCTAACTTCACAAATGGCTTTTAGCAGTAGTAAACGATCCAATGGATCAAGCTCCTTGTACTTCGATATCTCCTCTCTGCATAAACAATAACAACATGAGTTCCTTGAATGCCATAACAATTGTAATTGGTAGAACAAGACCATTTCATCTCCATACCCTTTAGATGGTACAAGTGGATTCTTGCCCTCAGCTACCTAAAGCCAAGAACCAGCCAACAGAACAAATCAATAAATCCTATCAGCAATGGGAAGGAAAAATAAAATAAATAAAAAAACATAAACAATCAATTGATAACTCACCCATGGCCACCACATAGTCAGTTTCTTAGAGAGAGCAGTCACCCATTTATCAGAATCATTCAGTAATTTGCTCACTGGTGGTGTTCCCTGATAGGAATGAAATGAAACTTAAACTTGCAAAGAAATTAAGGAAGGACCATTATCTAAATAATAATGGATAAGAAGCCACCACAAAGTTAACCAGTTTACAGACTTGTTTAAAGTCCAAGCTAAAAAAAAAATGCTCCATAGGGAATACAATTTTAAGAATCAGATAAATGGTGTTCATGACAAGTTTAACTTATAACTGAACACTGCTTCTTCCAAATAAGATGAGAAAACAAATTAGAATAGTGTTACTATAGCGATAATTGTTATAAAAAATTCTTACAGATTGAACAAATATTACCCAAACAACAGTGAGATCAACACTGTCGGTCATTTTTAACCTCTGCAGCACCCCATATCTCTGAAAAAATGTGTGTCTGTGTTAAGTTTGGTTTGTTCATTTTTTCAAATTACTCCTATTACCAATGTCAGTGTAGTGTCCGGTGTCTGTGGCTGTGCTTCATAGTTTTTAACCCCCGTGCTTTTTTCCAGCCCTAGGCCATATATTACAGACAGAGCAATCACAAATCATATATTAAGAAACCCCAAACAAAACAAATACACTGTACATTCTTATAATAATAACAACAAAAGCAAATAAGATACCTTTAAAAGTTGAATATGAAGGTGAGCAAGTGCAGCATTAGGCTTAACAAGTCCGATCTCAATTTCTTCAGCTGAAACCTTCAAATCCTTACCAAGTATTGGACTAAACACCTGAATCATAATATCACAAAATCACAAAATGAATAACCGAAAAACATTACTAACACGATTACAAATCGTTACTTACGTCGAGGAAATTGAGAACGGAAGCGAGTTCCCAGCGTCGACGTAGGTTTGAAATCTCTATCTCTAAAGGAGTTTCTGTTTCTTCAACGCGTGCGTTTTGGTCTTCGCTGCCACTGCCTTCTTCTACGGTTTGCATTGTTATCGTTCGTTCCGTTTTCGCAACCGTAACTGTATAGTTTCACGGGGAGAGAGAGACACTTTCCCGCCCAAGTAGGTGATGGTTGTTGTTACTGGTTTGAGAGTTGAGAATTGTTTCCACTTTGCTCTGTTAATTTCTAGGGTTAATAATTTCAGGATCGCGCCTTTTCCAATTCCAGTTCCCCCTCTCTGCTTACAGTAAAACGCGTCGTTTTGTTGTCCTTTTGAATGTCTTACGGTTTCTTCCCGCAGTAAAATGCGGTAAATTTGGATCTTCAAACTAATAGGGTTTTTTGAAAGTTTAATGTACGGTCGATTTTAAGTTTTCAAACCAAATTTTATATATTATATATCTCATGAAAATAAATCATTTTGAGAGGATTTCTTAACTCACTTCATGTGGGAAAATTAAATTCTATGTAATTTCTATAATTTTTTTTTTAAAATTGAAAATATATTTTTTGTGCGTATTTTTTTAAAAAAAATTGATTTAAAATCGAAAATATATTTTTGGTTGACAATATATTTTTGGTTCTAATGTTGTCTGTGGCATAAAAACCATAAAATTCAAGCTTGTAAATAAATATATTTCTCACTTTTTCGCATCACAAATTAAAACTTGTACAAATCATACACATCACAAATGGAACAAAAGACATACACACACATGTGTGTATATATATATATATATATATATATATATATATATATATATATATATATATATATATATATATATATATATATATATATATATATATATATATATATATATATATATATATACACATGTGTGTGTATGTCTTTTGTTCCATTGTGATAGAGTCGTACACAGTACCAAAATGTAATCCAAGTACGAATATGATATAATATAATACCAAAATACAAATGCATCAACATAAACTACTAAGTATGGTGGATGATGAGTCGGTCTGTCACCCTTGAGGCGTCCATACGCTGCCTCCTGTAACACATAGCCTCATGAGCTTCCACCATGATGGCATCCAAAACACCTCTAACATCGGATCCATCAGGAAACGGCCCTCTGTCAATACCATCATGCGCAAACTCTATGATACGACGGCACTTAGGCAACACGTCATAAGCATGATCTTTCCTAATTTGCTTCTCCTCTAAGATCTCCTGATGAACTGGCGCCGGTGGGTTCTCTAGAGCATCCTCTACTATGTAGAGAGGGGACACCTTAAAGAATCATATCATGTATTCGTACTCGTAACTCCAATCGTCTAGTGCTACGGTACTCCTGGCCTCATCAGGAACAAGATGATTCTCAAAATCATCAAAAATAGCATTCATATCCCTCTATTTCATAGTCGGAGAAGCACATACAGCAGGATCTCGGGGAATGGTCTGGGTAAACCTGAACTCACGCGTCACCCGCTCAGACATATAAGCAGCAGTCTTGCGAATCCCACAAGCAAACCAACCTATAAACAGTGCAACCTCATCAAACGGTATCGTGACACGGTGGTCGACGTATGAACTGAAGTGAATGTCCTCATACACCAGTCGATCAATGTAAACCTGGAATGACTTTATCGCCTGGTTCCCTCGGAGCGGGTCGTATGCACAGGCACGCAGCTTATCTTCAATATAACTCATATCATATGACCAACCCGAGATGCGGGAGACGTGTTGTAGGATTCATCCCTGAAATAACAAAATTAAATAGTTAGTTCTGAAATCAAAATAATTAACAAAGGCCACAAAGACAAAGAACTTATACTGTTGTGAGTGTCATGTTGTCGATCATTTGCTTCGTATTCCACTTAATGGGTTCATCCAACTTGGTATACAAGTAAATCAAGCAAGAAGCCCCCCAGTTCCACTGGTTGATCGTTTCAAAATCCTTAAAGTACCAGAGGTACATGATATCGGTATAAGTTGCACTGGTGTCCATAAAAATTTGTGTGCCAACAAGATACAAAAGGTATGTTATCATGGAAAACCCTCTGGGAATGGTAACCTGCTCTAGATCATCATGAGCCTCTCGTGCACGCCTAATCTCATTCGCAACACCCTAGCCAAATAGTTATACTTGACGTGGCAACCATGGGTCTTATTAATCTCTTTCAGGCCACTCTCAGGGGTAACTCCCAGCTTTTAAACCAACAAATCCAATGCCTCCTCTCTGCCGATCCTATCATGATCCAAGAAAGTCCCTCTGATCGGCAGATGAAACAGACATGTGATATCGTCTAGTGTGATCGTCATCTCACCATGTGGTAGATGAAACAACAACGTCTCATGGTGCCACCTCTCAATAAAAGCGTCAATCATACCCCAATTGACCGCGCTATATCCACACAGGGCCAAACCTTTCAATCCTGTAAACTGTAAAAGCTCATCAAACCATGGCTCAGCAGGCGGCACAAGTTTACTGATCTTCCGTCAATGGCTAATGACCTCGAACATATCATGTTCCTGCATAATAAAATTCAAGTCAAAATTCATAATAAAATTCACAAATAAAATTCGTAATAGAAATAAAAATGCAAAATTCATACATGTTCGTCCCAGATATATCAAGCAACATGGTTAGGATAAAAAGGAAGAAATGATAAATCATACGGTCCTCTTCCAAAAGCCTGAGGGGCCGCATGTGCAGGCTGAGTTGGTGCAGCCTTAGGTGCGGCCTTAGTTATCATTGGTGTAGCCTCAGGTGCAGCCTCGGGTGTCGCCTCAGGTGCATGATATAACCGAGGAACCGCCTCAAGTGGTGTATGGGATTGAGGTTGTGATGATGCATGGGTCTCAGGTGTTACCTGGGTATTGGGTGTGGATCATGCCTCAAATATGCTAGGTGAGAAAGTGTGTCTGCGGGAGGACGGGGTGGCGAATGATGAACAGGAGAATCTCGCCTGCTGTGGGAGGTCGATGTCGAAGGAGTAGAAGCAAGCACACCGGAGGGTGAAGCTGTAGGTGGTGCATCTGGTACTGATGGTGCAAAGGCAGGAGGAGACTAGGTAGCCTGACTTCTTTCTCTCTGCACAAAAGCATGATGTGTAACCTTATCGTGCCTTAATTGTGACGGTCTCTCGTCCATATCTCGTGTAGAAGTACGAAAAAATGTTAACATAAGGTCCAGTGTGCAAAACAAGCCTTAAAACAGACACATACATAAACCAGGAATATACTTCCGGTTTTGTTCTAGACAAAATCGGAAATTTAATTTTGGTTCTTGTTGTGATAACAAAAGCAACGAAAATGGCGTCCCATACCCCTTAATGAGCTCATAAAAAAGGCATTGATCACAAAATTAACTTTAGAAACACATTTTTAATGACTCATAATGTTGATAACAAGCTACAATATCACCATTTAAACCCTAATTCACTAATTTGAATAGAAATTACATAAACTCTAAAAATTTAAAAAAACAACTTACTTGATTAATTGGTGTTGATTTTGCTTGATTGATTGCGTTAGAATGCTATATTTAACCAACGCTTAATTCTGGTGATTTTTTGACCAAATGTGTGAAGGATGTAATAAGGGTTTAAGAGAGTTTGAGAGAGTTTTATGTTTTGTTTTGAAAATGGTTATTGTAATGGGAGGGGAAGAGGGATGGCGCTATTTAGTGCATCCAAGAACCGGAAGTATACTTATGGTTTGCACTAAACCCTTCCAACATAATTCACGTATAGCATGGTGCGAACCGAAAATATACTTCCGGTTTTGAGAGACACTTATGAAATTTCACGTGGTGCATAAGAAGGTCATGAGGTGGGTTAAGAAATTCATTCATTTTGATATGTTAGCCTATTATTGTAATTTAAATGCAAGTATGGTATATGGTATATGTTTGTTTGTTGCACGTATTATGGTAGTAATGAGAAGTGAGATTAGCTACTCATAAGAGTTGTACTCTTAGCATGGTGTGTCAAGGTGCATGAAAGCCACCGTCTCTCTTATACATGTATTCCCAAATAGTATGAAAAGACCAAATTACACAAACTCAAATATTTTTCAGAAATTCAGAATTTTTGTGACCAACCCTCCAAATGACGATACCGGAAATTTCAAGGCGACACCGAAAATTTAGTGAGACAGTAAGGAATTTTTGGTATATTTGTGAAATATCTATAATTTTCAAAAAAAATGGTATTTTCGTATCGAAATTTTTGAAATTTCGGGTGTAAACATTTTCCTTTTGTATCGGAAATTTCAAAATTTCTAAGACTTTACAGAGTATCGGGACTTTACAGGATATCGGAAATTTTGAAATTTCCGGTAGTTCAATTTTGAAATTTGAAAGTTCAAATTGTCACGTAAATTTGAAATTTTAAGTTTATCGGAAATTTCAAATGCACTACTATAAATTTACTCTTATCAGAAATTTGATAGAGGTGTACCGAAAATTTCATATGTATCAAAAATTTCAATCCTTCTACCAGAAATTTCGTCTGAAAATTTATTTGTATCTCATTAGAGGCAAAATTAAAATTAAAAAAATTGAGAGGTGACATGTTTAATTTTGGGGGTGGCATGTTAATTTCTCCACCATATTATGTTGATAGAGAGAAAAAAACTTAACCCTTCAATTGAGAATAACCATGACTAAAAAAATTTAGGAGGTGTGATGTGTTGCAATTAAGATATCATGAATGTGACAACTATACACCAATAAAAATAAAGTTTTGATGCAAGCAATGGTGGAATCAAGAAAAAAATATGAATCAGCCATTAAAATAAACTAAATATTTAAATTAAATAAAAAATGTATATCGTATATAAATTTTAAGTTATAATAAGCATAAAATTAATTATTAGAAAAATAAACTACATATCTTAAAACAATACTTTATTTGTGTTGAGTGATTTGAAATCATCAATGATAATATCTGAACTAATATATGCACTAATTTCCCTTTCAATGTAAACAGTTATGTTATCTGCTAAAAATCAGCCTTTCATCATGTTTCGCAACTTAGTCTTATAATTTTCATTGCCAAAAAAAGATCTCTCAATTGTGAC